ATTCATGGACATATCTACTATACATTGATCATAAGAAGTATACAAGTTTTCCAGATTCTGCTGCTGGACCTAGCCTACGTCATGGGCACGGGCACTCGGACGAAGGGAACAAGCAAGAGGTCGTGAAGCCGTCGAGCCGTGACCCCCATTTCCTCCGTCATGTCTATATCCGTGGCCGTCATCCCAGGCGGCAGCTCCCAGTCAAAATGGTAAAGGAGGCTAGCAAGTGCAAGCTCCATGCTCACAAGCCCAAACGCCATGCCCGGGCACATCCTTCGTCCTGCCCCAAACGGTATGTACTCGAAGTCCGTCCCCTTGAAGTCGACGCCGTTGCCTTCGAATCTTTCGGGCACAAACTCCTCAGGCTTGTCCCAGTAGCTGGGGTCCCTAGCGATCGCCCACGCGTTCACGAACACGATCGTGCCCGCCGGCACGTCAAATCCCAGGACCTGGCATGAGCTCCGGCACTCTCGTGGAAGCAGAAGTGGCAAGGGTGGGTGTAGCCGGAGGCCCTCCTTGATGACCAGGTGCATGTAGTGCAGATTGCTCAGGTCGTCCTCTGTTACTCTCTGCCGGCCGGCGACGGCGAGCGCTTGTCGGACCTCGTCTTGTGCCTTCTTCATCACTCTTGGGTTCCTCATGAGCTCCGCCATGATCCACTGCAGCGTCGTCGCAGCCGTCTCGCTGCCTCCGGCGAACATGTCCTGCACAGCACATATATAGCCAATTTGATTCTTTTGTCAGAGAACAAAAAGTCAGAAACACCATGGCATTGACATTTGATTCTTTTGTCGATCTGGAATTGGGTGCGCAGTGCTTACTCCGACCACGGACTTGATGTTGTCGGTGGTGAGCGGAAACTGCAGGTCACCTTCCCTCTGAATCCTCAGCAGCACGTCGAGCAGGTCCTCCTTGTCGTCGTCAGGTGCTCTGCTCTCCCCGTGCTCCCGGACCATGGCGTCCAAGAACGCGACCACTTCCTGCCGGTGCTGCTTCATCCGGACGGGCATCCGGCTGACGAGCAAGGCGACGCGTGACGACGGGTACAGGTCCGGCAAGCTCATGTTGGCGAACAGCTTGAGCCCGCGCTCCAGCATGGCCAGGAACGTGTCCCGGTCCTTGAACCGGCTCCCGATTATGGCGCGCACCGAGGAGTCGGCGGCGTACACGGCCAGCAGCTCGCTCAGGTTCACCACCGAAGCCGCCGACGCCACGGCGCCGAGGAGCCGCCCGGCCTCGTCCTCGCGGACGGGCCGGAAGGACTGGACGCGCCGGGAGCTGAGCAGCTCGACGGTGCAGATCTTGCGGGTCTGCCTCCACCCGTCGCCGTAGGGCGCGAAGATGATCCCCTCGGCGCCCTCGGGTATGGCCAGCCGGACCATCCGCGTCACGGGGCGCGTCGCGAATTCGATGTCCCTCGCCTTCATCACCTCGCGCGCGGCGTCCGCGGAGGAGGCCACCACGACGGGGAGCCCGCCGAGGCGGAGAAGCATGACCGGCCCGTGGCGCGCCGCCAGGTCACGCATGGCGTGGTGGGGGAGCGCGCCCGCGAGGTGGTGCAGGTGCCCGATCACCGGGAGCGCCCACGGCGACGGGGGCAGCCGCGGGCCACCGCCTCGACGGCACAAAGCTCCACGACTGAACCACAGGAAGGAGACGATGGCCAGGAGGGGGAGGAGGAGGAGGAGGTGGACTGGAAGCGCCGCCATTTCCATGGCGGCTTGGTGCTCCAACTATGAGTGGCTGGAAGGAAGGAGCACCTCACTCAGACTGAAGTAGTCAAGTGCAGCTTTGACTATTTTATCCCAAGAGACAAAAAGTGTTGCCCCACCATGGACCATTTGTGAGGTAGCAAATGAAAGCTGATTTCTCACTAGGACAGTTCTCTGATATTGACATTTTCTATACTCAAATACTCAAATATACTAGCGATAAGTTCATTGCCTTTGAAAAAAAAATATAAGCAGGGGATTTTCTCGGTATTTTGGCTGGTCCCATTTGGAGTGACTCCATATCTCTTCAAAGCAAGAAGTGCAGGACCTGTTTGGAACAAAGGATTTCCAAAAAAAAATAAGTAAATGAATTTTATAGAAAAGTTATCTCAACTTGGTGTTTGGAACAAAGGAAAACTGCATTCCTTTCAAAGGGAAAGGCTAACCTTGCTTCAAAAACATAGGAAAAAAGCATCCAAGAAAACCTAATGAAAAAATTCCTACAATATTTCTCAAGTTCTGAAGCATGGAACCTTGCTTCTTGGGCACATGTGATATTTTTGTTTTCCTGCAATCCAAATACCCCAAAGTTTCTATTCATGTGTTTTTAAATCCTGTAGTTTTCTACTTTTCACTCTATTCTATTGCTGCGTTTTTTTTCCATTCCTTTATTTTGCATTCCTGTGTTTCAAACAAACCCCCAATTTTGATCATGGAATATCCTCGGAGTATGATTTGGACAACCAGTTAAAAAATGCCTTTAACCATTGAACTACAGAAGTAGGATAAATTTAGCCCTCTAGCTGGTTTTAAAGATGCGTCTCTACTTAAAAATGTTTGACTTAGGATAAACCTAAGGCATCACTTATTTTAGGGCGGAGAGAGTATATAACAATTCCTAACGTCGTTTTTATTAACGTTTGATAACTTTTTTTCCTACTGCTGTAACGTACCAACATGGTTGCTAGTAATAATAAGGAAAAAGTCCGTTTTTGGCCCTCCAACTATGACAGCAGTTTGGTTTTAGCCCTTCAACTCCAAAATCAGACACCCGCAGTCTATCAACTCTGTAAACCAGATAGAAATGGCCCTCGCGTCGGCACGACGGCGGTTTCCGCCCGCTCAACCCGCGACGACCGCGGTATTGGGCCTTTTTCATTTTCTATCCTTCATGCCCCCTTTCACTGTGCCTTAGAGAGAGAGAGAGAGGAGGGAGCAGAGCGAGAGAGATGGAAAGGCGGGGGAGATTGAGGCGGTGGCGAGAACTCGGCTCTCGGCTCACGTAGCCAGAAGGCGTCGTTAGGCTTGAGACGGCGTCCGTAAGCAAATCGAGGAGGGAGATAGCAAGGAGAGAAGAGCGCAAGGCGAGAGAGATTTGCCTCCGTGCGGCTCATGGCTTTAGTGTGCGGGGTCGGTGGTACGCAAACTCCGGCGTGTAGAAGGCGGTTTCAGCGCTAGCGCCCCTATTTCCAACTAAGAGAGAGAGATAGCAGAGCGAGGGGAAGAGAAGGAGAGAGCAGAGAGAGAGGCGGTGGCGGTGACGGCCTTGGTGCCGGCAGCGACGGCCTAGGCGAGGAAGGCGAAGGGCGGGGCTCCCGGTGCGGCGTAGGGCGTCGGTCCGGTGCGGGCGGCTCGAGGCTTGAGCGCTGCTGGCTGGAGTAGCCCATCTCGGCGTCGGCGGCCGCGGCACCGACGGCCCTAGGCTCTGGCGTGGGAGCCGATCTTCAACAGGCGGGCGCGCAAAGAGAGGAGAATGGAGACGCGGAGCCCTTGCGCGGCAGCCATTGCAAGACGAGGCGGAGCTACGGCGTGCTCAAACTCGAGCTCGATCCTCTGAGCTTGGTGAGGTGACGTGACGAGCTGCGGGCTCCTACTGTGCCGACGCCGACGCCGACGCCGCACGCAGTGCTGAGTTCGAGCTGCCGCTGGAGGTCCTGTCGCCGCCTCGACGCCCGCCCTCCCCGCACGCCCGCCCTTCGACGCCATGGAGCTCCGGCTGCGTCCTGCTCGCCGCTCGCCTGAGCCGTCGCGGTGCCACCTTTCTGGCTGCCTTTCGCCAGCCAGGCCCGCGTCTCCCCGCCGCCGGTGATAGCCGGCCATGGGAAGCTCGAAGTCCAGCGCGACGCGGGCGAGAGAGAGGACATGGGCGCGACGCAGCTATCATGCTGCTCCTCCCGGCCTGACGCGGCGGTCATGCTGCTCCTCCGCGGCCTGACGTTGTCGGCAAGTTGGCCCGCCTGAACCGGCCATCAGAGCTCCATTAGGCCGAGCTGGCGGCCTCCGAGCTCCGGGTGCTGCTGGGCTCCGTCGCCACGGGCGCCCTGCGCCACTCCACGGCCACGACGCACGCCTGTATGCGCGCGAAGCGCCAGAGCTTGTCTGAGGAGTTGCGCAGGCGGCGGCCGACACGGAGGGAAAAGCAGTAGCACCACGGGCGGTGGTGCAGCTCGCGTCGGCGCCTCGGCGCGCTCTGGTGGCGCTTCAGCGGCGGATCTAATCGGCTGCGGCTGAGATGGTGGTCCAGTAATTTGGCGGCGAAGCTTGCAAGCGGCTCGCTGTCTCTGTGGCGGCGCTTGCCTGGTCGGCTTTGTCCGTCCGTGCGGCGCGTGTCGAGCTCGAGTTCGAGCTTGGAGTTTTCGCAGGTCAGGGTCGGGTCAGCGCCTGGCGAGGGCAAGGGCTGTCTTTGGAGCAAGCAGCCGAAGAGAAGCAGAGCTCGCTTCGCCCTGCCCCTTCCTCTCTCGCTCTGCTCGCCTCCGTCCCCTCCGCCCGCTCTGCTCTCCCTCCCCCCCTCTCTCTCTCTCTCTAAGGCTGACAGGCGGGGCCCATGAAGGATAGAAAATGAAAAAGGCCCAATACTACGGTCGTGTGGGGTTGATTGGCGGAAACGCCACCGCCAAGGCGCCTTGTGAGCCATTTATATCTGGTTTACAGAGTTGATAGACTGCGGGTGTCTGGTTTTGAAGTTGAAGGGCTAAAACCAAACTGCTGTCATAGTTGGAGGGCCAAAAACGGATTTTTCTCTAATAATAATAAAAATATATATGTAGGTTACACCATACTAATGCACGTAACTTCATCAACTCATGTATTAATTTATGAGACATGCAAGATTGAATTATAGAACTCATGCCACTAGAACTAAATTAAACACCATTAACTATATAGCTCAATTACAGTTACTGAGCAGGAATCAACTACACTTTTTCATATAAAACCCATCCATGACTCAAGCTCCAACCAATTCTACGCCAAGCAACTCAAACACACCACCACTGTTTTGGAGAAACAATGGCCAAACTCGCCACCTTCATCGTTGTCCTCCTGATCGCCGTGGCCGCACGTGGCGTCCATCCCGTCCGCGCACAGCGCTCGGCCGCTCGCACCCTGGACCTGGAGACTGTGGAGCACGTGAACCTACCGGCGGTCGTCGCCTCTTCACCTACGACGACGGAGATCATCTTCAACGTGCCATCAGAAGAGGAGGCTGCTGCGCCAGGGCCTGATACGGTGGACTACTATGATGATAAAACACCCATAACAGGACCGCTGTAGGTAGCACGCTCCTGTCATCTATAGTTTTGACAACGACCGTGCATACGGGTGTCCAGCATATATGAATTGGTGCTGTATTTGTTAAGTTGCGTCAACCATATCAATGGCGTTCAAATAATGTCGAGCATATGTGATCATTCAGCAGCAACAAAATGAATACTGTCTGAAAATAATTAGACGACTCTGTAGGATTAAATAATTTAATTTACAGATGTAAATCATGAGATAAGATTAGTGTCAGGCACCGGCCGGCTTAAGTTTTTTTTTTTGGGAAAAGCACCGACCGACTTAGGTTAATGTTATGTTTGTGAGTTTTTGTGCGTTTGGTATTGGAGCCTCCTATTACAAAATTTCGAAAATTCAAATCCTAGAAATAAATATGAAATCTCATACCGGAAGAAAAACTATTCAATTTTCCATATAGAGGGTTCACTATACTAGTAAACAAAATTTATCAGACCCTAGCGATAACGGCGTGGCTAGCGCCCGGTCGTCCGGACACCCGCGCCTGCTGCAGTGCTGCCTGTACGCATGCTGCTGCGCCTGCCCGCTCGCCCGCCTGTTCGCACCTGCTGCTGCCCGCCCGCGCTGCTCTATTTCCGTGGGCATGCACGTGGGGACTACCGTGGCCGCTTCGCTTCCCGCACACACATGGGGGACCGCCTCTGCCTGCGCTCGCTTCCGCGTCTGCTCATGAAACACTTGCAAAATGAAGCAATTGCTGCAACATACGTCCGAAAACAAATAAAACATTTAAAACATAGGCTTGCAACATATATGTATAGCCACTGCAACATATGCATCATCCAGATAATAAACACTTGCAACATGGGTTTGAAACAAACGAGACATTAAGAACATACACATTGTTGGCGGTCCTTAACTCATATTTTCACGCGCTAACTTTACATAAAATCCATACAAACAAACACCAAAACTTAGTAAATAGGGTTTATACTAACGAATTCCATAAGTTTTGGTGAGTTGATCATTTACAGGACACATACTTGGACTACATGGAAAAAAAGAATCAAAGTGCGCAACCAGAAAAACGTAAACACAGACTCTACACAAACAAATAGAAGGAAGGCCCACTTACCTTGCAAACTTGGGCCGAACACCCACGTGGCTACGCTCCAGACCCATCAAGCAACCCACCTGGCGAAAGACGGTGTCGAGGCGGCCCAGCCACGGTACGGCCGCACCGCCACTGGCGCCTCTCAGGCCCACCTTCAACAGGGCGGTGCATTCAATGCCCCTGAGGTCGGTTGCGGTGAGGCTTTCATAAAATACCTCAGCAAACCATCCTTGGTGAGCTATAAAAGGAGGAGGCCACCCTCTCACATTTCATCAATGAAGGAAGACACAACACAAGAGAGAGCACAATGTAGCAAGAAGAGAAGAAGAGCCACACTCATATCTTATCTTGTAACTAGTTCTAGTGTAGGGAGTGAGAGAATAAGAGTGGAGAAGTACCGGAGTTGTCGGCTACCTCCACTTGTGTACTCGGGGCCCCTTGTACACTTTAGCGGAAGGAATGCCGGGAATCATTGGCTCCTCTACACTTGTACCTCTGCGAACCAAAATACTGCTTGGAGTATAAGGTTCGTGTTTATCTTCGGTGGTGAATTCTACTTTAAGTTAATCTTGTTCATTATTTACTTGCGGGTTCGTCATCCGCTCTCGTAGCGGATACTCTAGTAAAGGGCCCTGATAAAGATGGATAACCCTAGTCGATGCTAGAGTAGTAGTCGATAGCGTAAACGTGGTGTCTAGGCTACCTTTGTTTGCCTCATTCCCCACGGTTGAGGGGTTGGTGGCAGATGGTGATAGCCCTATCCGTCCCCTGTAATCCCCCACGTTTGGATTTGCGCGTAGAGCCGGAAGCCGGAGGTACTTGGCAGACCAAGTATAAGCCGGTGCCCGAAGTGAGTCTATAGTGGCAAAGCTATCTTAACTTAGGATCTCTATCCCTAGAAAACCTCGCTACCCGAGCTATCTTTCTTCTTATTATCTTAGGTGAACTAGCTTAAGAGACTCTTACACTTTCGTTCCTCGTGGAAATACGATACCCTGAATACTTCCGGGTGAAATGCTACAACGGTAATTCCGTGCGCTTACGGATTATTTCTGTATGCGTTAAGAAATACCAACACACATGCAACATACATGTATAGCCATTGCAACATATGCAACACCAAATCTACTTTTGCAACATCCAGATGAAACACATGCAACATCCAGATGAAACATATGCAACATACATCTGATACGCATAAAACATATGGTTGCAACATGTGCTCATCTACCTGCTGCTTGGGCAATGGAGGCTCGTTGACGGATAGCTCGACGCCGGCGCAGAGCTCAATGTCACGGAGGTCGCAGGTGCGGAGCTCATTGACGACACGAACCTCGGCAGTGGCTGCGGAAGGCAGATGGAGCGCGGCCGCGACAGGAGGCGCGAGCCCGGGCGGGAGACATGGTGGAGGCGTGAATCTGCGCGGGTGCGTAGCGCGGGCGGGGCGGTCCGTCCGTCCAGACAGACGACGCCCTACAGGAAGCATTACCGTAGCGATAAACACGACATTTTAGAAATATATGATCAATTCAAACACATTCAAATTTTTTTTCTAAAATAATCAGCATAATTTCAACAGAAACTATTTGTAATACATGATATTGCACCATAATTGCATATAACACCAAAGAAATAGCACGACATATTAGGTAGAGCAATGGTGATGCTGCAGATCGATGGCGTGTGTCCGGCCGTCGCTTGTGGGTGTCGAGTGTGGAAGTGGGGGATGAATAAATTTGGAGAAATTGTGGACTTTGGAGTGGGTATAGGAAGGGAGAGCAATTTTAGGTTGGTTTAGTGTGATCTTGGGACGAAAAAATGAATTCAGCTGAAAAAAAAAAACTCTAGCAAAAAAGGTGATATTTCTGGGTTTTTTACAAAATATCGTCAAAATTGTGAAGCCATTTTGGTACAAGATAGCTTCACAATACTAGCATTTTTGGTATCAAAATAATCGATACAATGTTTAGATCTACAAGTATAGATGTGAACATTGTGTTAATTAGGTATCAAAATGACCTTATAAATAAAAAAACAGCTAACTATAAAGTTGCAGTTTTTTTCCTACAAGTTTTATATAAATTTTATTTTCTCTTTACGTCAGTTCATATATAAAAGTTATGATTTTTTAAAGATGAGCTAACAGAAAATAAAGGTAATTTCACCAATTCAACCAGAGGTAATTACTTCCCACCAGTTCAATCTGTGGCAGTAGTGCAATTTTACATTTTTTAATTTCAACAAATTTTTTTTTTGCAAAAGAAAATAAAAAAATCTCAGTCGTCATCGCGGTGGGATCCAGTAGACCGACAGTGGTTCACTGAAGAGCAGCTGCCAGGGGGCAGTAGCAGCCTTGCGTGGTCCAGACTGGGCTGATGGCGCCGCGCGAGCCCTTTCCAGTTTTTCTTCGGCCCTTGTCCACCTGGGCTGAGCATGTGAAATACAGCGCGCTACTTCTTTGGTTCTTATCTTTCTTGTTGTTTTTTTAGTATACGAAACAGAAATTCACATGTACTGTATTATGTCTGCTACTAACAGTCATAGTTTCCTCTTGTTTCCATTGAAATAAAAATGCAATAATAATAATAAAATATTTAAGTTACACCGTGTACCAACGTACGTAACTTCATCATCAACTCATGGATTAATTTATAAGACATAGAAGATTGAACTATAACTCATGCCACTAGTAGAGTTAAACACCATTAACTATTCCATTGCAGTTACTGAACAGGAATAAAGTACACTTTCTCATATAAAACCTACCCAGCCATGACTCAAGCTCCAACACAATTCTACGCCAAGAACTCTTAGAACACCCTCACTGACACTGTTCTGTAGAAACAAGTAACAACAATGGCGGCCAAGCTCACCACCTTCATGGTCGCTGTCCTCCTGATCGCTGTGGCCGTGGCATCCGTCCCGTCCGCGCATGGCACTCGCGCCTTGAAGACCGAGGAGGACGTGAACCTGCCGGTGGTGGTGGCCTCTTCGCCCACGGCGTACGTCACCTTCGACGTCCCGTCAGAAGAGGCGGTGGCGGACGGCCCTACTACCGCGCCAGCAGGGCTGGTGGACTACGATGATAAAACGCCCTTGCTAGGACCGGTGTTGATACATAAGGTCCTGTCATAGTTGATGATGACCATACGCTGTGTCCAGCAGACATAAATCGTTGCTATATTTGCTAAGTTGTGTCAACCATGTAAATGATGTTGAAATAATGTCGAGCACGTGATTGTTCAACACGAATAAAATGAGACTCAGTGCTATCAAAAAATTAGAAACGTGTGTAGGATTAAATTTAGAATTTATACAAATACAAATCATGATAAGAATACAGACTAGCATGCAACTCTTGTAATATCAGTAAGAACCAGGCTCTCTCGCGCTGTCGCGCATCCTCCCTTGCTGTGCCGGTCTCCCACTCATGGTCTCCCTTTAACCCGATCTCCAATCAGCCCGATCGTGTCTGCTAGCTGCCCGCGTTCCGCGTTAGCCTTGTGGCCCAAGCCAGGGACGTTGTTATTGGAGCTTTTCGATAACGAAATTTCAGATCCGAGCGATAAATGTGAAGTGTCAGAATGCCAGCAAATAAAATTTATTCAATTTCACTAAATGGAGGGAGGGTTCATGAATCGCAATACTGGTAAATAAATGAGTTAAATTCATCCGCGGCCATCAAATTTGTATGGATGTATCAAACTTTGAAAATTCATTTCTAGTTCCCTAAACTTGTTAAATGGTGTATTGGAGGTACATGCTAGCCACATGGGAGTTCCATGTTGATGTGCCATGCCAATGTGGCATGTTTTTTTTTTGCATTTAACCTTTCTCCTTCTCTATTCTCCCACGAATGGATTCATACTTCCCTCTTCTCCCATGCCGAGCCAGCCGGTGGACACCGTGACTCCCTTCGCCT